GTGGCGTGGCGGGGCGGGGCGGGGGGCTACTCGGCGCGGCGTGTTGGGTCTTGGCCGGCCTGGCGGCGAGGCGCAGGAGTGGCGTGACGCCCAATAGAATACTTCACAGTGAAAGTATTATTGACACTCACGCGACTCCGCCCCGGCGGCCCCTGACGGCCGCGGGGTCAATGTCAGGGTCACAGGGCTACCGGGCGGGGCCGGGTCGCGGCCGGGAGCGCAGCCAATGAGTCGATCCCGCCGATGGGATGGGTCGGCTGAAGTTGGAGTCGTGACGCCCCGAGAGGCGGCCAGTGCCAGGGAGGGGGGGGGGGCAGGTCACTGCTTGGGGTTTTAGCCGCGCCAGCTGCAGAAGGGAGAGGCGGGCGCGGCGCCGTTGGGCTTGTTGTTGTTGTTGTCCGTCCTCACCCCGCGAGGTGCGCTGCACCGTGTGTGCCGCGGTAAAGGGGAATTCCAACACTGCTCCGCGAAAGAAAGCACACCGCCACCGCTGCAGCCTGCAGTCCGGGTATAGGATGGCCCCCAGCCCGGCCCGGCCCGGCGGCCCGTATGGCATGTTGTACAGTTGCGTTGACCTTTCTCTGTGACAACCATATGGGGATATAAACACTTTCCTCTCTCGCCGCGCCGCACCACGCCGCCCCGCACGGCCCTCCTAACCAGTGAGGTACCCCGGTACCCGCCGGTACCCCCCCAGGGGGGGGGGGGGGGGGCGCTCCCGCTCCACGCCGTGCAGGCCGTGCACCTGCAAGCGCCGGCAGCGGCGCGGCGCCTGTCGGCAGATCACGGTGTGACAGTCCGCCGAGGCACCCCAGTGAGCAGGCCTGCCAGCACCTGCCAGTGACCCCTGGCCCTGGCTGACAGCTAGCAGCACCCGGTGCAGCATTGTCCCGCATCAGGCCCGGGTCCGGCCTGCCCGGCCCCGCCCGCCCCGCCCCGCCGCCGCTGCGTGAGCGCGAGCCTGGTCGGTACGCCCCAAGCGGTGAAAGGCCTGGTCCGCGATGGGCCGGACCGGGCCGGTGGGGCACGCCTTAACACTTGAGCAGGGCGCCGGGATGCAACACCAACACCGTGCAACACGCAGCACTCCTGTCTGGAGGCAGCCTGCAACCCGCTCCGCCATCCGCCAGCATAGTGATGGTCGAGAAAAGGGTAGAATGGCACATATACACAGATTTTGTTTCTTTGAATGATAAGTGTTGTAATTCTAGTGCTGAGGTTGCCAACATGACATGCCCAGCATGTAGAGCATACATTTCAAATTCAGTACAGTTTATGACAGTCTACACTTTCTAAAAATAGAAAAGAAAGTTAAAGCAAAGCTACCGATTTTAGAATAACTTCAATGGGCAGAATAACAAATAATAAATTTATGTACAAGGCAATAACATAAATATCTTAAGACTTTTACTCTCACATAATAAATAATTGCGATGCAATACTGATAGGAGGCTTCAGACTTAAATCAGTCATTTGAAATTATCAGCCTTCTCTGTTGGATTCTTTACATGAAAACATACACAATGATTTCAGTCTTTCAAAAATAGGAAAAAATTATTAAAAGCCCAGAATGAAACATTATTGTGAAAGAGAAATTACTACATACAAATGAAGAAAAAAGAGAAAGAAAAAAAGCACCTTGTTATAACTAATATTCAGACCACAGGTTAAATAAGTCTAGGAAATAAAATAACAATTACCATAAACCTCAGGTTGACCTACTTTAAAACTATACCTAATAAGAAATGTTAAACAGTCCTTCCCAATAAACAGAATCCTTGACTTCCATGTCTATGTTTATATATCTAGAGCTAGATATTTTAAAAACATGCTATTGCACTACAGCAAGCTTACAGAATCTTGAAGACTAGAGATCTGGCAAACTACAAAGTACATTTTTCTCACGATCAATGAAAAAATTACACAAGCAACAAAGGTGAACATTGTGCAATACCTATAGAAAAAGAAAAGTGATTGGAGACAATCCACAAAAAGGAATTGTTTCCAGTATGTACTTGACATTGTAAACAGTAGTTGAGGTGCATTTCATAAAGGCAATACAATACATGGCTTATCAATTTTCTTAAACCATTGGAAATTTAAGAGTGACTAAATATTCTTTGTACTCTTTCTTGTTCTTGCAAAATCTTCATAATGAAGATTACAAGCATTCTTACAAAGAAGTGAATAAGGAAGCAAAAGGGATATAAGATGGATCCTCTATAAATTGCTCATCTGTTTTCTTCAGAAGAGACGTCAATCCAGTAACTTCAAAGCTTCGCTGCATTGCTTCCTGGAATTAAACAAAAAGGAATTTTCTTAAAACCTCTTACATTTGGACATCCCAATACAAAAGAATACCCTGAATTATAATTTTTTACCTTTCTTGTCTGCCGTAGAGTACTACAGGCATCTGCAACCCAGCGAGCAATATCTGTATTGCTGGAGTATGAAGTCCGTTTGCAAGTTAGCATTTGATCAGCAGCTGTGTAATGTCTAGTCCATCTGTTATAAATATTTTCTTCAAATAACCGAGATATTGCTGGGTCTAGAGGTTGGAGCTTAAATGAACATCCAGCAGGCATTACTGAGAGAGTTATATTAGAGGCTTTACATTTATCCTGAACTGACTCAGAGCAGTGAGGATCATAACAGTCAGCCACAACAAGGCTTGGTGAAGAAACATTTCTGAAAGAAATAACCTGTGTTAGACATTGCTTCATTCTTTGGGAAAGTTTTTTTCACTTTACAGCATTTCTTTCAAGTATACCGTTTAACTACTGTTGACATATAACTCTTTACTGATACTAACCTGGTCCAAACAAGATCAATCCATTGTGACATAATGGAGGAGTTCATACAGCAGTCAGGTTGGTAAAAGATGATTAATGGAAGTCCATTATATGAAACGTGTTCTGTTGGCCCATCTCCCTATTAATCAAAAAAATAAACATGACACTTAATGAATTTTAAAATGTGATAAAGTGATGAACAGACTGAAAATTATGTACTCAACCTTAAAAATAATTGCTGGTGGTAAAAGTTCTCCATTAGCAAGGCAGCCTAAAATCACAGTTGCATGACAATTTTCAAGGCCGGAACGCCTAAGAAGTAAACGATTGCGAGAGGCTCCTGCGGTGAAGTTTAGCGGGATTTCATCCATGCACCCAACGTTTTCCTCACATATATTTGATGTTTTGATAATTTTCTGTACATGAGCTCTGAATTCAGATACTTTATGCTTCAGTATGGTGGGTATTTCTGTATCAATAGATGGTTTTTCTGACAGAAGATTCTTATGTCTTTTGCAAAACCTTAAAAGCCATCCTGCTGAAGCCTACATTTAAATAAAACAAGAATGTTTGTAAATTAAAATTTAAAAACGTAATTTAAGTTTTATGAGGTTCTATAATATTACCTTAAATTCAGATTTGTGTGTCCCAGTAAGGGATTCATGTGCATAGTTCAGCAAATCTCTATGAGATATATTACGATTACAGTCAAATTGTTCAAGACACCATGCTAGCAGATCACCATCACCCTCATGACGCAGAGCCACTCCATAACGCATACACCATTTCTTTAACCAACCATGGGAGCACTGAATTTTATCATGGTTACGAGCTCGAAAGAGTTCAACAGCTTTGACCCGTATCTAGGAAATTGGGGGAAAACATGACAATGAAATGAGAACATAGATAAAGCAGAAACTGAAAAACAGAAGTTCCAGTATGAGGGAAAGCACCAATTTACCTCTTTACTTTTAGGTTTTGTTTTCTTCGCTGTCTGCTCACAAAACCATAACCATAACTCTTGATCAACAGCAACACTGGTCACAGCTCTTCCAGTTCCTTTCCCATTTAACTTCAGCTTTAAAGATCCGCTTTCAGGAATAGAGGAAAGTGGCCCATGACTTGGGAGACTATCTTTGGGATTTGAAAAAGAGATAGCTGTTGTTTCTGGAATTTAAAAATGTCTGGGGTGAAATCTGAAAGTACTGTACCTTTTCTTGTGTTTCAACAGAGTAAAAATTACCTTCATCTTCTTTCTTGGAACTCTTGAGAGCTGCTGACCATTCAAATATCCGTCTACGGGCTATATTAAATATATTTGAAGCCAGATTTTGACTTGTACGTTCCGCATAGAGAACTACCTCAACTTTGAATTCATCAGGGTAGAGAGCCTTTTTATCACCTGTGTCTTCTGGGAGATTATTAAAGCCAAGTTCTTTATTCTCCATCCTTTTCTTTTTCTCCTCTTCACCAAGAAATCTGCAATTAGATAGAATTGCTGGTTAAGTCATGAATGAATACTACAAAACATATAAACTATAGCAAAATCGGTGTATTGACAAACCTTGATGCCCAGGTGTAAAACCACCGGGTCTTATCCTTTAACCAGTTGCCAGGGGTTTTTAACAAATTGATGGCTTTTTCAACTACTTGCTCCTTTGTAAGCAAAATACCACTCTCTCTATTTCTTTTCAGCCACCGAAGCATTAATTGATCAGGATAGTTCTTTACCACCTTAAAAAAGAATTGATTTTTGAAGTTAACTTACTGACTGAACTTACATTTCCAAAATATCAGATTTGTTAGAAAACTTACAGAGTTATTCTCAAGCCTCCCCCTAGTCCACAAGGTCACAGTGTCTACATTAACTCCAAAGTATTGGGCAGCCTCTTTAGCTGTGTTCTTAATTGCGTAATTAACAACCTTTTCTTTGAAGTAGGGAAAATATCTATCTCCGCTTGAACGACGGTATGAGGACTGCTTTGCCTCAACAACATTATTACCCAGGCTAGTATTCATACCCTTTTCAGTTAAATAGGCTAAATTTTTCTTGTGCTGAAAATTTGAAAGAAAAATTAAAAACAGAAAAAATTGTGACAAAACAAAAATGTAAATGAAAAGGTGTTTTTTGTACGTACTAATTTTGAGTGCTCCCCAGAGTCAGCATCAGTTTCTGACAACATGTTCTCTTCTAATGGTAAATCAAAAGAGAGAAATCCATTTTCTTTGGTGGATTCATATCTCATTGGGCATGCCAATGTCTCACTTTGGCTTGTATTAATGAGACAATTTCTTTGATCTTGTGTGGAGATTTCAGCAGTACATGTGTTAGTTAAAGACGCTAACAGGGAAGTGCTGTCCCCCAAAGATGTGCCAGAAGGTGTCCATGTCATTAATCTTGTCACACCACCATTTCCATCCAGTAGGTAAGAAGTTGAGTCAGTTCTTGTATCAGCATTTGCAGTCAACATATCAGAGAAAGAGCCACCATGGACTTCTATTGAATTTAGTTGCATAGACTTCAGCATGCCTGATGACAGGTTTTTACTTAATATAACATTTGAGGCACTGCACTGTGAGACGTTATCAAAACCTGCTTCATCTTGAGAGCAGGGTACAATATAAGCACTTTCAACGTTTTGATTTAAAATACAGCTGTCTGAGACAAGTGGGCTTTGAGAGTATTCAACAACTTCCTCAGTGGAAAAATAGCTTGAAGGTAATGAACCTATGTTATTGAAATTATTACAAGATGCTATTAACACATCCTGATCTGAAACTGAAGAATGGACACTATCAGTTGTTGATAGATGAAGTAAATTTTCGCTGTCAACCAATGCAATTTTCCCAGTTAAAGATGATATTTGAAACATTTTCCCGCCTTCAAAAATTACATCACCTGATGCAGAGGAAGTTAGTAACTTTTTTTGTGCCACTGGGCTTCCATCCATAATTGGGAGCATGTTGGAGGACTCATTTACAAAAGGTAACATTGGGGTGAAGCATGGAACTTCTAATGTCAAATTATCATCTCTGCTGCAGGACGATAAGATTTCACCTCTTACAGCATCTTCAGAGGCAAAAATGTTCTGGTGTTCAGGTCTTCGAGATTGGGCCATGGGATCTTCCATTAGTGGAGTTTCACCACATTTTTTAACCTTCCCTCCACAGGGAAAGCTATGTTCTTTATCCATTAATATGTACTGCGATGATTTAAAGATAGGCAACTCTAATTGACTGCCTTCATCAAGGCTGGTAACTTTCTCAGATTCGGATTGGCTGTTTTCATCAATCACTGACATATTGCCTTGAAAAGGCGATTGATCACAGTTAAGAATGGAGAAATCATCCTCTTGCATTGAAAGCAAAACAGCCTCAGAAATGTAGTCATTATCTTCACTGCTTAAATCATCATCCACCACACTCATATGGCAACCTGGCTCTGGACTGGTGCATTCATTTATTGTTTTCAATCGACTGCTATTGGTCACCGTGTGGTGAGAGCCAGTTGAAGTTGGTGGTTTAAAATGGTTGTCCGGCCAAAAGTGAGAGTTTGCATTTTCATTTGCAATATTCTTGGAACAAATTAGATGAGAATTATTTACATTGCCACACTTAATACTAAGCTCAAAAGTTTGCTCATTATTTAGCTGATTGACAAAGTCTGAGCTAAGAGATACATCTTCTAAATCATGCTGAGCAAAGTTTCCACATGCTGTCTCTCCATTAATAAAATCAGTCATACTTTGGTTACAAACAATATTTTCAGTTTCTTTTGACTTAAGATCATTAGATTGACTTTCTTGTCCTCTAATAACCAACGCTCCTCCTGCACTATCTCTGCAGTGAATATGATTAGTTTTCTCAGCACTACTGCCAGACTTTGATGCTCGCTTAGGTAGAAGAGAAAAGCCTTTAACAAAGGATTGGTCATTTTGTTGACTTGGTCCTTGGGAATTGTAGATAAACACATCTGAACGATTTAGTTTCTCCCTATCTTGGAATGAAATGTTATTATCTTGTTGATTTGGTTTTGGATGTTCAACACAAAGGCTCTTCAAATCATCATTTTCTGTAAAAATAGTTTCTGAAGGCTTTCCAAAACATGACAAATCAGACAGATCATTCCAAGTTAAATCATCCAGATTTAGAAATGATGACTCTTCGTCAATTTCAACAGGTTTGAGTGATTGACTTGCGCTTTGAGCACATTGCTCCTAAAAGAAAAAAACACAAATAAAAATCATTTGAAAAAAAAACAACAAGATTATTAATTGTGGGTCAAAAATTCAGATAAATAAACTTGCCGGAAGAAGAACAGCATCAGTAGGATTAATTTTGGCAGTTTGGTGAAAGATGAGAGACTGTGGTGTAGATTTACCACCAGCAACAAATGAGTGAGCATATTCATCACTATCCAGGGATTGAAAAGATTCACTTTCCCCAGGTTGTGAAATACCAACATAGTTTAAGTTTGTAGTGTCAAAGGCATTATCGCTGCAGGATGATTCTAATGGTCCACAAACACTTGGTGCAGCTTTGTTGAAAAAATTGTCCTTTTGTTTATTTGCTATGGCAGGAGTTTTAGCATTGGATCTCCTTATTCTCTGCTTTTTAAGAACTTGGGGACTGCCAGCAGTATGATCCTGCATCAAGCAGAGATAATCATTTTAATACGGATAGTAATTTGAAACACGCAGACAAGGTCATTCAAATAGAGAGGATACATTATAAAATAATTATCATTTCTAAATTACTTACATTTATCCTGTTCCATCTTTTGAGCCATCTGATGTACCATCCGTCACTTGCCTTTCGGAAGGATCAAGACAACATTACGATTAAAGAATGACAAATACAACATAGAGCAAAGAACTTTGAGAGATTAGTGTAAACCTTTACCTTAAAGTTAGAAATACCCACAGCCTCGAAGGCCTGCTTGGCTTTGGCTTGCACCAATCGTTTTGTGACACGTGGGCCATGATAGTTCTCATAATTATTTTTAGCCTCACAAAACCAAAGCCACAAATCACGGTCAACCTCTCTAAATTCTGGTCTCAGGCCACGAACTGATAGAACTTTAATATTCATATCTTAAAATGTCCTCTGAACCTAAAGTTGACAAGTGCAGGCAGAATAAAATGATAACATACAAGAAAACAGCATCGGAGCAACCACTGACACTCAGATACATAATATAATACGTCAGATTACACACAGTAGCATGTTGTAAACATTTATGGGTCAATTCAAATGAATTTTAAGGCTTTGACAATTTCAAAACATAACCTAAAACCCTCCCCACAAAATTGATTAGTTTCACAGAACGTTTTCCAAGCGTTTGATCAGCAGAAAAACACACCTGACTTTTCGAGAACCATTTCGTAAGTTGAAAAAGCTGGAAGCGTATAGTCATTGTTATAAAATAGCAGTACAAATCCACAAAACCAGTCTTTCACATAGTACAATAACAAATAAAAACATCTACTATCTTTCTCTCTGTCATCTCACACCCCTCTCTCACTCACACAGAACGGGCATTACTTTCTGTACCCCAGTTTACTTATATGAAAAATTAAGCGGTGCTTCTTATCGAACCGGCCTGTCATTGTCACCGGCGATGCTGGGAAAACGACAACTACAGTGAGTACTAAATTCATCTAGTTACATCGACATCGAGGATAATTTTTTTCTGTTACTTCTGTATACTTTAGTAGGTGTAAACATGGTGTGGTCACACAGTGACCTCGAAAGTGACGTTTCTGTCCTAAATTCCGTCAATATGGCGTTTTCGTCACCATTCGGTGCTTCGGCCAGGCCAGGCCCTACCTCTGATTTATGATTAATTTATGCAAGAGGAGGCCGAGGGCGTTGCATC